AAAAGAATTATTTTATTGATTTAACTTACTCATAAAGATTACGTCTAGTATCAAGTGATTTAATAATGAAAAGTCTTTGCCAATATTTTTCAGCTATACGTGATTTTGGTACAGGTTGAGCCCAATATTGATTTAACCAGTACATTTCTTCCCAAAGAATATTCTTTTTTATATCTTCATCATTTATTTGATCAAGTGATTGAGTTACATGACGAAGAAGTGTCCATCGGAGAATGGAAATAGCTGTTAAACGTTTTGTTTTTATTTTAACTATTTGTTCCCATCCACGATGACGAAGAAGCATCTTTTTATTTTCTCTTAATTCGTTTATATAACATCTTATTATAAAATCATATGTGTTCGAATTGAAATGGACTTATTCTTTTTATTGGATATTCGATTGTACCAATGAATATTTTTTTTATAAAAATGAATTATTTGATCTATCAATATAGTAAATATAAATACAATGATGTTGAAAAACTAAATAATTTCTATGACGTATGAAATAGATTTATTTAATTCATTTCATTATGTTTCCAAAGAACAATACTTCTTATTTTTCTTTTTACTTATAAACGTAGAGGTCGTTTTAAACTTACAAGCATATGTCCTAGAACATTAATGTTCGCATGAAGTATTATGCATACAAGGAATTCTGTTGCGGTGTATGAGTTCATTTTGTTTATTTTTATTTAAAATGTAACACGTTTTAATCTATATAGAAAAGCTTTGAAAACATTGTTTAAATCTATTATCTTTAAGAGTTGTCCTATTGAGAAGTTGACTGTGCTGTATCTATTGAAAATTTTCATTTTTTTTTATTCGAATACGGAAACCAAGCTTTTTCTTTACAATTTTTATGATCTATTAAATCATCTCTCTTTTACATTATCATTTACGCCACAAGATGCTAGCGAATGTTGTCAAATTCATCGAGTCAATTTACTTCTTTCCTTACGTTATTCGTCATATGAAAAGATAGATACATTTATAAGCTTCATAGATTTTGGAGTTGATGAAATTCGCCAGCTTTTTGTAATGATATTTAAGAGATACCTATTGTGATTGAAAACTTACGGAGCCATGATGCTATTAAACACATTTCGAATATTCCTGTTGTCACCATACTAAACTCGAATTATTGTTACTAACCTGTAAGAACTATTCATTTTCAATGTGTTACGTTTTTGGATAGTGAAATCCTATTCAATATTTTTGCTGTTTGGCAAAGTTGCAAAAAAAAAACAAAAGCTCTCCAAACATGATGAACATCTCTACAGCATTATTAAAAAAATATTGCGGAAGAGAAAATGCACAATCTAAATTATTGAAAATTTAGGCAAGTACAAGCTCCAGCTCTTAAATACAGTTCGAATGACCTTGAATACTGTTTCAATAGGTCTTTGCGATCTGATCAAGCATATCTCTTTTACGAACTAATCTTTTAAAGAAGTTTCCTGATGAGAATCGGTCGACCTTCCTACCAACGACAATATTAACCCTACACTTGGTTTTTGATCTAAAATATAGAGTTTATAGTTAGAAGAAATTTTCTTGGATATATATGAATAGCACAAGTATAGATGTTTATAATATAAATAAAAATCTAGTTAATGGTCGTTTACTGTATATTTACTTTTGTATATTTTGTATTTGCTCCCTATTTCGTTACTCGATGTGTATTAAAATGACTCAGAAAATATATCAACACTTTGTATCTTCATATTAGATTTTTATTTGTATTATAAACATCTATACTTGTACTATTCACATATCTCCAAGAAAATTTCTTCTAACTATAAACTCTATATTCTAGATCAAAAACTAAGTGTAGGGTTAATTTTGTCGTTGGTAGTTAGATTAATAAGTTACTTATGACTTTTTTGAACAGTATCTGTAGATAGTAACCAAAACTTTTTTAGACCAATCTGAACAAATCATTACAGTATCTCATTTAGCGTGAGAACTGGACGAATGCCACCTTCCAGAAGATCGTGTTTACTGTTCCCTGCCATGTTTTGATAGATATTTGAAGGAAATGTCAATGATTACAATGCTCTCAAAAAGACACATCACATGATCTAACTGTAATGTTTCATCAATTGGAATTAGTGTTGAGTTTTCTCATTATACATGATTGTTTTGAATTATGCAACGATACAGTAATTTTTCTCTGTTTCTTTAACACTCAGATTAATAGTTAGTCGCATCGCGCCGCTTTTGTCGAATGAATAATTTTGTGCATTCAAAAACGTGAATACATATAATCCAATTAAGGATCAAACATGAAAACCTTATACATTCTGTACGTTACATTCACCTAAAAACACTGTTATTATAAGTGTCTGATTGAATGTACCAGGCTGATGTTGCATCTTCCAATAACAATAATCAAAAGTGTTTAAAATACGCATGCAATTATTATCTTTAATTTTCATTTTACTCAGTATCATTAATATCATATTTCCACTATTTCTCTTTATCTCATCTTCCATACAATATCAAGATAAGAAAGTCTTTGTAAGAAATATCAAAAAAATGTATAATTTCGTTTTAATTTTAATTAACGAATATATTTAATAATGAATCATAGCATTATAGAAATTGTTTTAATCGTGTTTAAGATGTTTCGTGAGCTCCATTTACATTATAAGTAAAAAAAACAATTAATACATAAATTGAGTAATGAAATATCTAATCTATTGCTAGAAGAAACTAATGATATCTCATTCTTATCAAATGATCCTCATTTGATAATTACAAAAGGTGATAAAGAAAACGGTATACTGGTTTTTGAATAGGGAAGATGATTTTCAAAAAGTGCATGAAGTACTTAATGATAAAAGAGCTTTTAAGAAGTTGAATAACAACCCTACAGAACAACATGAAAAGTAATGTGTCAAGTTTCTTTACCATGTAAAGAAGTATAAGAAGATAACGGAGGAAGAATACAAGAAAATGCGTCCAAAGTCTGGATCTAGAACTCCTGAAGCATATTTTTTCCAAAAAGAGTGCATAAACAAAATTTGCCTCTTAGACCTATTATTTCTAATTACGATTCTTATAACAATAACACTGCTAATTATCTGACTAATCTCTTACCATCTGCCGTGACAGATGCTTCATCTGATCTAAAAGACTCATTTTGACTTTGTGAACCAAATCAAAGGATATAAACACATATATTGATTGGTGACCACTCATTTCGTCCCATTACTTTACGTCCCCTTACACTACGTCCCATTCATTTCGTCCCTCACTCATTTCGTCCCTTTGCATTTCGTCCCAAATTCATCGTGTCCCAGTGTCATTTCGTCCCATACACTTCGTCCCAAACTTATTTTGTCCCTACTTCTTCTTCGATATGATTAGCTAACTTTAACGAAAGAGAGGGTAATAATAATCGGCCTAAAAGAAAGCCGACGGCCGAATTGTGCCTAAGAATTTAATTGGCTATCGATATATATATATTGGCTATCAACAAAAGAAAAAAATTCACACTCAGATCTTGTTCACCACATAAAGCTTTTCTTCTTTGCTATTTAACCAAGTGTTGCTACCTATACGACCGATGGGTAATATTGAAATTTTGAAGAGTAAAAGAGGAAATCCGATTGTGTGTCATGGTGGGTTCGTGTACACGCAACACCGATTGACTAATGAAAAACGTATTTTTCGATGCGAAAGCCGCGATTGTACGAGTAAGTGTTGATGATAGAGTTTTTCCGCTTTAAGTTGGATTTTAAATTATTTTAAGGTCGCTGCCACACGAATGTAACAATGAATGCTTTTCTGCAAGAACCATCATGTCATTCGCATGCACCAAATCCGAATCGGCTTCACGTGATTCGAATTCAAAATGAAATTAAAGAACGAAGTGTATCATGTGAAGAAGGAACAAGCATAATTTTGCACAATGCTTTACGTACAGTACCACTGAGTATTGCAGCAGATCTTCCGTCGACGGACGCTCTGTCACAATGTATTCGTCGTCAAAGACCACCACTGCTTTTGGATATCAATAGTCATTTACCTCAGATTTTAAAACAAACGGATCGTGGAGAGGACTTTGTCTTATTTGAAGATGATTCAATGATCATTTTCACAAGCAAATCTAATCTCAGTGTGCTAAAAGAATGCAAACATTGGTTTTGCGATGGCACGTTTAGTGTGAGTATAATGACTTTTGATCGCCTCACTTACTTGTTTTTTTTTCAGGTATGTCCGGAGAAGTTCTTCCAATTATTTACAGTGCATGGACTGTACACGTGTCAGATCGTGCCATTAGTGTATGCCTTACTTGTTGGTAAAAAAGCTACGGATTATGATCAATTATTTGAGAAATTGTTGTTGGAGTTCGACTTTGATCCTGATTCAATTCTTCTCGACTTTGAACAGGCAACTATTAACTCCATCACGAAATTATTTCCTGATACTGTTCAAAAAGGTATTCACGACGCGCATGTCCACATATTTCAGTGTTTAATTTCTGTCATCTGTAGGTTGTTTGTTTCATATGGGCCAGTCTGTCTGGCGACACGTACAGTCAATAGGTCTTCAGAATAAGTATGTCAGCGACGAAACATTTCGGTTGAACGTAAATAAATTGATCGCCCTCGCATTCGTGCCAGTTGATGATGTTATCAAAGCTTATTCATCAATGATCATTGATTTCGATCAAGATGCTGATAAACTATTAGAATATTTCGAAAAAACATGGGTTGGACAAAAGAAAGGACGAGGTCAGATATCATTTGTTTCTCTTACAACTCACAGTTGCCATCTGATTTTAGGTATTCGACGAACGAAGCCTCAATTTTCTATACAAACATGGAATGTGTACGATCGTGTTCTTCAAGATTTGCCTAGATCGAATAATTCCATTGAAGGATGGCATCGGGCGTTCAATAATCGTGTATCGATGAAGCATCCTACCATAACTAAACTGGCGAAATGTATTTTACGAGAACAAGCAAATTTTGAAATGGACATTGAACGAATTCGAGTGGGCCAACAGCCAAAATCCAAAAAGAAGATCTATGCTGCTCTTGATTCACGATTGAAACGAATTGTTGCTTCTTATAATTTTGAATCTGTTGGTGACTATTTGGCCCGTGTGGCTGCTAATGTGAAACTAAATTATTGAACTGTTATTTATTCTTCATTTTATTTAATATATTAAAGGTAGAAGATCACAGTACATGACGTTGTATATTAAGCAGAATTGTCACAAACGA